ATTATTTCTTTCTTCCGCCTCCTTCCCCTTCATTGCACAGTGTCAAATGCAGGGAACTGTAAATAAGAAATCTTCCATACCAGTCCTCACACAGCACCCTTTGCTCCTGCCACATGGCTTTTGCAACATCCCCCAAAAGGTTTGTCAATCCATGTGCTGTCTAGTGGCTGGATGTAGTGGTTTTTGGGCAAACCAGCACACTGGATCAGACCAGAGCTGCACAAGAACACATTGAAAACAACCAGTGGAAGAATCATCTCTCTGGCACAAGCTGTGGATGTGGCAATCCTCTTGGCAGCTTTAACTCCACCAGCAGCTGTTGAAGAGGATGGAGTTTATACTGACCCTCCTATGACCACCAAAGATATGGACCAAAGTCAGAAGAACCCAGAAAAGTCACTCTTGCAACTCCTTTTTCTCTGTGGTTTCCCAGTTTGTGCATTTTAGGTGCTTTTAAAATGATGCAAGGGATGGAAAACCTTTCCTTTTTTATTTTTTTTAAGCAAAAATAATATGTTTCTGCTTTTCTAGAGCATATTCTCTTTGCAATTAAAAATTTATCCAGATTTCACAATCCATCTGGGCACAAGAATGATGATAAAAAAATCACAACTCAAAGTCTTTTATAAAAGTTTCTGTGGGTGAGCAATTCTTATATCATTATAGACATGAACCCCACACCAATACAAATAACTCACAGCCAAATATTCATCTGCCAGCTAACAATTCCCCATGACAACTCCAACATTTAATGAAATTCAGGAAAGAATGCCACAAAAGTGTGGAAAAGTTGAAAAGCCACAGTGCAGAAAAGACAGAATAATGTTCTAGGCTGAGGGAGCCATAATTTTATATATTGGATATTAAATTAATTTTTTTCCATGTGCACACTCTAAAAAGGTCAGTGCACATTAAAAAAAGAATACTATAGTTTTCAGATGATAAAAAAAATCTCATCTCTGATTTTTTCCAAGATGATTAAAAGGCAGATACTATTTGAAAGTTATATTTCAGGTTCATTAATATCTCTCTGTTACAGAAAAGTAGTGTAAAAGTGTGTTAAAATTTAATTTCCCAGATTCTAAACAAATATAAATAATAATGGTTTCTTAAAATTTGTCTCTAATGAAATATGACCTATGAGAGATGATAGTACGTTTAAAAAAATCCCTCTGAACAAAATCATTGTGTAAAATATATTTTCTTGAATGCTGTCAATGTGACCCTCCACAGTGACTTTGTTTAGTAGTTTTCTAAAGCAAAATTGCTGAGAAGTAGTTACCATATTTTCATATATATTGATAGCTCTAATATTTTGGAGTATTTATTTTGAGACAAATCAGCTTGAAATATTTTTTTCTGATTACCTGAAATGTAGTCATGGTGGAGTTAATCTGATGAATCCTCTCATTGCAATGAACACATCTTAAAAGGACAGATTGCCATTAAAAAGTTTATATTTCTTGTTCATCAACAGTTAAAATGGAAGAACTTTAAAAAATACAAACCCCCAAACACACAATCAAAATCTCATACCTTTACCCTTTTCCCCATTAAAAAATATTTTTAAAAAATTTAAAAATCAAAGACATTTGAACTGCTGCTCTTCTAGTTTGAATATTAATATGGGCTGATGGGCTGTACTCTGGACTCCATCTGACAAGACTATGAATAGACATCACTGGAAAAAGAATTTGTATTCCTTGATAGATTTACTAACCTCTGATTTTTCACTCTTGTCCTCTTCCAGAGACTGAGGAGTTTGTGTTAGACTATAGTACCAGAAACTGCCTGTGGAAAAAATATTGATTAGCACAGATTCCCTCACTCTGTGCTTTTAGAGCACAAGTTGGGGTTCCCCTGATGGTTCAAGTTGCCCTCTCCCCTGGCACTACTCTTCATTGCTGCAGCAGGACCCTGCACTGTGGCATGAGGAGCTTTGGGCACAGGCCAAAGAGATAAGTAAGAGATTAAGATCTGTAAAGAAGAGATTAAGGGATACAAAAATGAATTTTCATCCCTCTGGTGGCTATTTTGAAGAAACTAAGCCAATTTCAAAAGTAAAAAGCACTATCAAATGTTGATTTTTATTTTTAATGATTGAAGAGTAATATTGTATCAAGTAAAATATTTAAGCAGAAGAAAATGCAGTAAATTAAATACTAATGATCTGCATGTTTGAGTTAAGGCTACAGGTGGAATATTTCTATTACCTTGGTTATAATAAGGTCCACAGTGCATTCTTCAAGTTCTGATTAAGAGCAATGTTTAATACACCTAGTAAATTAAAATGCAGAAAATGCTCATGGTGCATTAATCATGCCCACCGGTCTGCAAATTTCTTATTATTGGGAAAGGGAGAAGATAGTGAGTTATAGCTGTTGTGGTTTATGATGATAAAGATGATTATTGACATTATTATGTGCCTTCACAGACATACTTGAAGTCCAGGTTGAGGGGACTTGGCAAAAGTGATTCTTCAGTGAGAAAAAATCATCATGAGATATCTGTCTGTATGTTGGAAATGTTGAAACTCAAAATGACTAGAGGTGTTCTGTGAGTTCATAAGTTATAAGCAACAAATGCAGTCACATTAAATGTAATCCTAGACATTTCTTCTTAAAACATAGGTTTCCAAAGATGTGCAAAAACGCTTTCAAAGACATGCAATTTTTTTTGTTGAATTAACTGACATTGCAAGTAAAGAGATGTTTTGCTTCAATGGAGCTCTCTGTGTGTTGCCATTGGGGAAATCTACTGAAACAAGTTCATAAAGGATCCTTAGCCCACAGGTGTCCTGAAACAGGACTTGTGTTGTACCAAACCATTAATTGATCCAGGCTTCTCCTCCTGCAACCACATGTGCTCCTTCTAGATAGGCATAAGAACCTCAAGAAATCAAGGAATTAGGCAGATAAGGCTTCTGTGCTTTAAGTTTGTTCAATTGTGCTCTCCTCTGCTACTCTCACTACAGCAAATTATGAGTACATGTGTACCTATGCTTAAGAAAGTATTTCCTGGTTCAACATCACATGAGAACCATATCCCAAAGAAGCAAGGCTCTGTTGTGAAATGCAACTACAGTAGTGGATTAGGTTGATGTTTGGCAAACATGTTCTTCACTATGTGCATCACTGTAGAAAGCTGATTAACTAATAGTGACAAGAGGTTTACTTGATATTGCTAGCTCTGCCATCTTTCTGTTTATAGTGCTAGTCAGATAACTTATTTCCTCAAAAAAAAAAAAAAATCATTCACTGTGAGTATAAAAAAAATATCACCCAAAAGTAAAACTTGCCAATCATGGCTTCATTTACAATAAATACTCATGTCAGCTGGACAGGAATTCTCCATTAAAAACAGTAATTTGGTGAAGTGAAGAGGATTCCAGGGCTGATAGGAATTACAGGCATCCTGCTTGGTTACAGCTGTAAAAAAGCTCACTTTCAGTGCCTCTTATCTGGACAGTGCAGCTTTCAGAGGCATTTGTGCCTTCTGGACTCAGAGATATAAAGTGACATAAATAACTCTAGCCTCAGTGCTCCAAGGTAGAATAATGAGATTCCTATTTGTTTTTTTTTAAAAAGGGAAACTAACTGACCAACATTTAGGAGAATTTTTTTTTTTTTTCCACTGTCAGGGTTAAGACCCTTCCAGTAACTAAGCCCTGATGCAGAAACTCATTTGCTCCCCAGCCTGCAGGATCAGGGAGAGAACTAGAATAGTAAAAGAGAGAAAACTTGTCAATTGAGATAAAGAAAGTTTAATAGGGAAATCAAAAGCCATGCACACAAGCAAAGTAAAGCAAGGAATTAATTCAGTACTTCCCATGGCAGGTAGGTGTTCAGCCATCTCCAGAAGACCAGGGCCTTACCACATGTAACAGTGACTTGGCAAGACAAACATCATTACTCTAAATTTCCCGCATTTCCTTCTTTCACTCCCTTTCTAAACTGACCATGATGTCACATGGTTTGGAGTATTTGTTTGGGTCAATTGTCCCAATTGCATCTCCCCCAACCTCCCACACATCCCCAGGTCCCCTCACCAGTGTGGCAGTGTGAAAAGCAAAGAAAAGCCTTGGCTCTGCATAGGCCCTGCTCAGCAATAACAAACAAACAAACAAACAAACAAACAAACAAACAAACAAACCCTCTGTGTATTATCAACCCTATGCTCAGAACAAATCCAAAACATTTCCTCACAGCAGCCATTGTGAAGAGAATTAACTCTACACCAGCCAAAACCAGCATACTCTTGAAATTTAAGAGGAAATAAAAGAACAAGAGAATCTCTATAACTATATAATATTATATATATATATAATATATAATATAATATATATATATAATTATATTGATTCAAGCACTTTTTCAAATATGATTGTTACTTATGCTATTCAGGTACCTGAATAATTCCCCTTCAGGGCAATTATTTGTCTCGATTGCCTACAGAAGGAGATCTGTTTCATGCTACAGAACAGCAGTGTATAACCTAAAAGCCTATTTTGAGATATAAAAGACAGGAGTTGCACATCAGGTCAACACTCTCCTGCCCTGATTTCCCAAGAGAATCTGAGAGCACAGCAGTTTGTACAAGGTGACAGTAATCTCACTGACAACATAAGAACAAAAGCAAAGCAAAAGAAGTGTTAATCCAGGTGCTCTGGATTTTCCTTCAGGGAAAAACAGGGTAGAGTCCAAAGCTTTATCCAAATTGTGGCTTCTCAGTGAATTGGTTAGCATCTCCTGGGCTTAAGTCACCATGTGCCACTCTGAAAATACATTCATGCATCAGGCAGAATATATATCTACTCATTAGCCTGTCCACATTTCCCATTTGGCAGCTCTATGCATACACCTTTCTGTCCTTATCTGTGGTCTCTGCTCATAAAATACATGGTGAAGGACATCTGAAATTAACAATGTGTGACTAGTGAGCTGCAGATAATCATGCTGTCTGAAGAAAATAAATTATAAGAAATAATACAGATTATTTCAGCCAAATATGGTTCTTAATTATATTTATAATTTGACCACTTCATGCACATACAAAATACATCAAACTCATAATGATAAGAAGCAGACAATGGCCCCCAAATATACAAAGAAGCATTTTAAATAATGTTGTGCTAAATGCACATTTGTGCATACCCTTCCGAAATACACTGTCACTCTTTCTCTTCTTCCACAGATGTCAGAGCACTCTTTGAACAAGACCTTGTAGTTCTGAATTCTCACAGGCATTTCAACCATGAAAGGAGCAAGGTGTAAGCTAAAAATTTAAGTTTTAAAAGCCAAATAAAGAGGTAATGTAATTCTCCACATTTAAACACTAAAGGGATGGGTAGCTAAAAATACACACTCTCATATTAAATCAAGAATCCTGATTTCTGTATAACATGATTTCCACCTGAAATCTCAGAGAATGAAGCACAAAGTTATATTTGTTCCATGAGGCTGAGATGCTATAATTCCCTTCTAATAATTCATTAATTACACTTCTAGCACTAGATACTTGCAAATTAATCAAAAAAAAAAAAAAAAACCCCAATGGTGGTTAAAAAAGAAGGACACTCCATAAATCATCAGAAAATTATTTTAGTAGTGTTTTAGAAGTTTTTCACCAACGGTGTCAATGTGTACAGGGGATTAAGTTCAGATCTGTTTGTTCTGTGTGTGTTCTCTGCCACAACTCGCAGTGCTGGTGCTTTCCGTACTGTAAACAAATAGGAGATCCTACATGCAACTGAGTTCCATTAAACTGTCCTAGAAACATGAGTTCATCCAGTCTCCTGTCTCAGACCAAAGCAAGCAACTCATGAATTCATGCAAGGATCTGCAGAGTGCCTGGTCCCATCTCTTGGAGATATTGTAGCTAAACCAAGTGCAAACCCTCAGATGCACTGATTCCCCCAACAGGCTGATGAAGATCATCGGCTGCTATAGCCACACCAGGTGAAACCCTGATTTCCTCACACTCTGGTTGCTGACAGTGTGCCATGTTCTCCTTCCAAACACGGGGTCAGGCTCTGCTCCCGGAGGAGCACAGCAAAGCTCACTGCTCCTGTCAGCAGCTGTGAGCTCCTCTCACAAAAAACCTGTTTGGAAAACACTGGGTTAGCACTGATTGCTGCCTTTGGTAACACAGCAAACCACAAACCTCTGTTACACAGGCTGTCAATTCCCACTATTCCAGAGCTAGAAGTTGAAGCTCAACATTAAACTCTTTGTAGCTGGTGAATCCCTTATATATTTTTTTCATGGCATAAAAATTTGGATCAGTTTGGGATTTCCCCTATTGGCATCATGTTCTTATTTTAGGCGTTAACTTGTTTGTGACTTCTTGTGTTTACATTTAACTTGTATTTATGCTTGTGTTTAAGTTTCCTTTTTTATTTTATTTTCAATTTAAAAAATCCCAAATCCAATTCATATTGCAATATTAAATTTCTCAGGTATTGAAATGCTAGGTTTTCTGCATTTTCTGAATCTGGTTTCTTAAAACAAGCTTTTCTTATATATATATATATATGTGTGTGTGTGTGTGTGTGTGTGTGTGTGTGTGTGCATATACATATATATATATACATATACCTTTTTTTAAGTCAGTCTTGAAAGACCTAGATTGTAAGCAACTTAGCCCTTTTGATCTCCTTTCCTGTTATCACTCACAAAAGGAGCAAAGCAGCCCTTTCGAACAGAGATCACACATCAGAAAAAGGTTTATGTGAACCACATCCTGAAACTATAGAAACACAGCTGCATAATTTTGGTTTTGTTTTTAATTTGCGTCCTAACTTTTAATGACTGCATTTTACCCCAAAAGCACATTAACAACATAAAGCATCACTTCTTTGAAATGCTACCTTCCCAGTATAAGTTACCTGCAACACTGCCTTCTAAATCTGCAGCTTTAGCACATGGAGACTAAAAGTGTCTGCTGAAAGGAAACCAGCTGGGGATCTCAGTTATACTTTTCTTATATATATTTCTTCAGAAAAGTAATTTAAATATTTGGTTTCGCTTTTTTCTTGCCACAAGAGGGCGATCCCTTAATTCGTGTCACCACTAAGGCAATGTGCAGACACAGGATGGAATCGTTTTCTATCTAAACCATAATTTCAACTTCTTATAGATAAATTGATGAATTTCATTCTGTCTGTGTTCTCAGCATGCATGTGGCTTACATGAAGTTACTAGGCAATATTATTTAGCTGTGGGAGCACACTGTGCTTCATAAATGGCTGATACTGAAAAAAAAAGGGGGAAGAAAATAGGATTTCCCTTCATTATCTTTAGAAGTAGAAGTACACTGTATTAACACAACTCATTGTTCTCAGTGATGAACTCAGACAGGTCACAATCAAATGGAATAAGATCTTAAGACGTGCTGCTTTCAGAAGCATGAGAAATTTGTGAAACAAAGAAAAGATATCTCTTATACTTTTCATCCACTTGTGAATGTTTTAGCTATTTGAATTTGTTAAATATGCCATCATGTGCAACAATATACAGCGCAAGCACGATCCACATGGGAAACTGATTCAAGCACTCAAAACCTGAAGATTGTCACGTCCTCCCTAATGCAAAACCGATTGCATTTACTTACTTAGAACCAGATAGTTGAGAAGATTTTGTTTAAAATGCTTCTAAACAGTCATCATGAGTGTACAATATAACTTACCATAACATTTTTGTTTTCAGTCCCAATATTTTACATATATAAAGCTGTGAAATTTACTCAAATCAAGACTGATTTCTCCCTCTTAAGTCCAAATAAAATTTTGCTCAGAAACAGTGGATGGATTTTGTCCATCAAGAGTCAGCTATGTTCCTGGGCAACCGGTAATGCTCTGGCCTGATCCTCGGCTTCTTCTCCTGAGGGCTGGCATATTTCCACTTGGATGGAGACATTTTCAGCTTTTTTCTCTTCTTATCTGTACACCACACTTTTTCACAGTATTCTTCCACCCTCTGGAAGTTGCTGTAACCTATCAGTTGAAGAAATTCTTTATACCATGGCTTTGAAGCCTGAGGTATACTGCTCTGCATTGGGCATGGCATTTTGTGAGGGATCTCCTCCTCATAGTCTTTATTGAACATTTCGTCTACACGTTCTTCCTCGACTATTTCCAGGGTGATTTTCCTGACAGTGTGAACAATGCTGTGTTCTACTGTCTGGCAAAAATAAGTCCCTGCATCCAGTCGATGTAGCTTCAGGAATAAAAGGCCAAGGTCCATTTTTATTATTCTATCATCGGTCTTCACCTGAAAAAAAAAAAACATAAAATGCAGTTATAGAGCACAGGCCTTTGCTATTACATTAAACCAATTCAATTATATCTGAACTGTACTTTCATGACTGCAATACTAAATTTTGAGAGGAAGATTAGAAATCTACAAATTTTCAATCCATACTGTTTTCGTAATAACAAAAATATTTACTTGAAGTAAAGAAGAGATTGAGTTGCAAATGGAGACGAATCTAAAGAATCTGGGAAGCATAGAAGAACATATAAAGAAGCAGACAGAGACATGTTTTAATTGTAAAGGGAAATAAGTTATGCAAATAATCTACTGGATGGGAAAAAGTACATTTGCCAGCTGACCTTTGATAAGGATCCCTGTAGACTGGTATGCTTTTAAGGAGATGTTCATACATGTATTTGCATATCCAACTGCAGGACCATTATGATCTTAAAACCTCAGTTCTGAATGTGCTATTTGAATTCCTTCTACAGCTCCTGAGTGCTACACTACTGACTGTGAGACACTCGGAGATGTTGGCAAGCAGGGGACACTGAGCTGTCTAATCCAGCAGCAGGAATGGCCAGGAAAATGGTGTCTGCAGCTTTTCATTTAGCAGTAAGGTGATGGATTTAAGCAGAAGTACTGAGTGATGAAGAGAACAAAAGCAGCCCTGAAGAGAATGAACTCAGGACTTGGGGGTACTGAGGGACGAGGAACTGGATGACAGCTGGCCACATCCACTTGTAGAAAACCAACTGTATCCTGTGCTGTATAACAAGAAGTGTGGCCAACAGGCCAAGGGAGATGATTCTCTCCCTGCACTCTGCTCTGGTAAGCCCTCACCTGGAGTGCTGCATCCAGCTCTGGGATCCTCAGTACAAGGCAGACATGGACCTGTTAGAGTGGGACTGGAGGAGGGTCACAAAAATGAAGAGAGGAATGGGGCACCTCTCCTATGAAGAAAGAGAGAGCTGGGGTTGCTCAACCTAGAGGAGAGGAGCAGACCTTATTTTTACCTTTCAGTACTTAAGGAAAGATGGGGATATAAGATGAAACATGGGGATGTTTTTACCAGGCCCTATAGTGTCATATCTACACGGCAGTGATAGCTACATTGATGTGTGTCAGAAAGGTATTGAGGAATAAATACAATAGCACTTACTTTCATAATGGTGAAATACACGTAAAAGAGCAGAGAATACACCAACACTTCCTTGCAAAAAAATTTGTAATAAATGGGTGAGGCGCAGAATGAATAGAAGTTAAGCTAGACTAACACTGGAAATAATACATACACATTTCTTCCCTGCAAAAACATACCAAGAGAAGTGATGTATTTTCCTTTGTTTTGAGATCTTAACTTAGCTTCACTACATGTTTAACATCTGTATTCAAGATGTTGAATGCAAAGACCAGGTGAAATTCTCAGGTCTATTAATTCAAGAGACCAGATGAACATAGTGATTTTCCCTGACACCCATACATATGTCAGCAACTGGTGGCAGAAATTCAGTGGGGTTGTAATGCTCCCAACAACAGGCCCTTTGTTAAAAAAAAAAAAGTTAGTCTATAAGAATATTTACCTCTTCCTTCTTATTTTCATGTGCTCGCTGGACAAACCAGATTACTTTTGCTTGTAAGGTCCGAGGGGTGCATTCCAGAAGGGTGCTGTTGTACTCTACTCCATAAACAAGTCTCTCCTCAGTCTTCTCCAGAACTTCACCTGGAAGGGAAATAAATATTTAAAAAAGGTCTTACTGTAAGTACTTGTTACACTCCATGTTCAGGGTATATTTACTTTAAGGAGTGAAGCTTAATTCAGATCAAACCAGAGAGTGAATGAATGAAAAGTAATGTCTAAGGAAGATCTGACCTGCTAAATGAATTTTCCCATCATCCCAGGCTTTCACAGCATCTGACCAAATTGTGCTGTGACTCATCTAAGATTATAGAGAAACAGATCTCAGCCTTTTACACTGCTAATTGTTCGTGCCTGGTTCTTATGAGTAGTTAATTTCATTTTCAGTCAGTGAAACAGGAGGATTCAATACATGTTTAAATATAATAAAAAAGTTCATTTTTTAGGGATAATTACAGCAAATAACTTTTTGCAGAATGATGCTATAAATACTCTAACCAATATTATGCATATTCATGCTATACATGTGCTAACTGAATGTACAGTTTGGGCCCAAGGGTGCAAATAAAAACAAGGTGAATTAATTAAATCAAAATTTAATTCTGGTTTTCAGTACAACAAAACATCTGGAGGAGGATAAACTAGTTGCTACACCAGACAAAACCAACTGCTTCATTAATGAAGTAATCTTATTCCATAATAGTGAGAGAGAATCTTGAACCCAAATAGCTTTATATCCTTAAAAAATACATTGTTTATATAGTTGTGATTTCTCTGTTGTACTTCAAACTTGTGGAAGAATTATATGTAAATATTTTAAATAGTGTTTCTCTGGATATCATTCTAGAAGAAACTTTTATGTTTTATTTTTTTATTCTATAAATGTATCGCATATTATCCTGCAAAATACAGAGCATTTCCATGCAATTGTTTTTTGTTTTTTTTCTGGTTTTCTATTCCCAATACCCCTGTTTGAAATCCTCACTTTTCAAGGTTTGGATAACAGTACCCTATCGTATTTTTTTTTAAGAAAAAACTTGATCATAAATACACATTTTTATTCTTTTATGTCATTGCTCATGCCTGTTGTTAAATTATAAGTGTTGTGACTATTCATACACATTTCAGAATGCATCTCCATTGTTTCTTATCCTTGCCTCTTCTTTCTGCTTTTTGTTTTTTCTGTTGGAAGCCAGTGGGATGCATTCTCCACATCTTTAGTCTGAATGCCAGTGCTGCAGTAGCAAATGAACATTTTGGGATGAACCTGACCTGCCAATGACCTGCCACCCTTAGACCTGGAAGGCAGAGGTTCAGCCCCAGGGCTCTTAGAACATGATAGGAACATGCCAGTGAAAACAGCAGGTGAGATCATGGTCTGGCTCGTGCTCTTGGCAAACTGTGCTGGCTGTTGCAGACCTTTACAAGCACCAGTGGGTGAGTGAATAGATTACCAATGAACTGCTGGCCAAAGCACTGCTGCGCTGCGTTCCCGTGCCGGACGTCTTGTCTGCGGAAACGTCTGGAGGGAAAAAAGTGGAATTATTTGAGAGAACATGTTTAGCTTACATGTTGTTTGGTTTATGCTAAGCTAGCCTTCATTTAAAACCTAAGGAGGTAAACCTTGATTGCTAACAATTTACCATTGTTGTGAGAAGTGCTCACTTATAAATCAGTATTTTGTCTCTACTCAACTTACTGAGAGTCATGGGTCTGAAAAACAAAACATTCTACTCTGGATAAGAGGTACAATTATGTGTCCATTTTATACATAACTATATTAATGTTATAAATATGAAAACAAGATCCTTTGAGCTGACTGGGTAATATTCAGTTGTAGGAACCTTTAGCCTGTCTTTGAGTTCTCTCTCTCTCCAGAGAGGAAGGAAATTTTCCTTTTTTAATTTAGCACAGTTTACCATGTAGGTGAATGGTACTTCTTTTATTCTTTACTCTCATGTTTTTTTTGTTGGTTTTTTTTTTTTTTCTTTTTTAATTTAGCACAGTTTACCATGTAGGTGAATGGTACTTCTTTTATTCTTTACTCTCATGTTTTTT